AAATGGAGTAATATTTGGCTGGCCCCTGCTGATCCATCTATGACCAAGCTTTAAAAGCACAGAAAATCAAGTATTATAAATACTTCTCACCATTTTTCCTTTTCGTAATTGATTTTTAATTGGCTTGAAATGTGTCTGGCTACCCACATCTTACTTATTATAGTCCTTGACTCTTGTGGGAGTGTCTAATTACTGTCTGTGCTGGCCCAGCTCCTCTGCTCTTCCCTTCCCTACTGGGGAGCAGGAAAGGGGAATACATGTGTCAAACACAAAGCCTGCTGGCCAAATCCGGCTCACTTGGCCATTTAATGGGGCCCTTGCACCTCTCCTGCAGCTGTAGCTCCCGTCTCCGCTCCCACCTTTTCTCAGCAGTCGGCAGCAGAGAGGACGACAGAACTCCGCCAGATCCTGTGCTTCTTCGTGCAGCTGTGCAAAGGCTCATCTCTGCCCCCCATTTCAGCAGGCGGCAGCAGAGAGGAGGACGGAACTCCACCAGATCCTGTGCTTCTTCGTGCAGCTGTGCAAAGGCTCATCTCTGCCCCCCATTTCAGCAGGCAGCAGCAGCAGAGAGGAGGACAGAACTCCGCCAGATCCTGTGCTTCTTCGTGCAGCCGTGCAAAGGCTCATCTCTGCCCCTCATTTCAGCAGGCGGCAGCAGAGAGGAGGACAGAACTCCGCCAGATCCTGTGCTTCTTCATGCAGCCGTGCAAAGGCTCATCTCTGCCCCTCATTTCAGCAGGCGGCAGCAGCAGAGAGAGGACACAAACTCCGCCAGATCCTGTGCTTCTTCGTGCAGCCGTGCAAAGGCTCACAATTTCAGCCAGCAGAGAGGAGGACGGAACTCCGCCAGATCTGTGCTTCTTCTGCAGCCGTGCACAGGCTCATCCATTTCAGCAGGCGGCAGCAGCAGAGAGGAGGACAGAACTCCTCCTACAGATCCAACGCCTCTCTGTGCAGTCACAGCACCCTTCTCATTTCCAGCTCCCCTGGTCTCAGCATTCAGTAGACTCCGGCAGCTGACTCCAGCCCTCCTTTGGCCCTCCTCCAGACCCTGCACTTTCTGTTTCCTAGCTCCGCCCCCAGAGTCTTCCTGGCACAAGATAAGGAGGGTGCACGCTGTGATGTAATAGATGGTGGGTGGACTCTTGACTTCTGATGGTGGAGGGGCTCTTAACATCTGATGAAAGGGGGGGTGCTCTGGACATCTAGTCTTGCAGATACAACTGGCCCTTGGAGGGCAACCATAATTCTAATGCGGCCCACAATGAAATTGAGTTTGAACCCCTGATATAGAGTGTCACTTGAGGGGCTGCTGACATCACATCCAAAATGGTAGCGCCCAGCGGCAGTCTCAGGGCTTTTGGATGTCTACACAAGGGAAACTGTTACAGGCCATTAATCTAATCTTACGTTGTTGAAACTGAATGGTCTGGTAACACGGTCTCTTCAAGGGCCCCTTTAAATCTGTCTCGTCCATTGCAGTGGTTTAACTGCACACTTGTTCGGGGGCTATATTATATGCGGCAATATGTGTTAATGCAGATCATTCATTTAGACCCTCTTTTATAATGATTTGCACCTCGTGTGCTGAGTTAGCATTGTGAATGAATTTCAGTGCACCTTGCCAGCTGGTGTGTATTAATACAGTACAAAGGTCTGCAGGGGATGAGAGAGAAATCCAGATTTTCAGATGGCATTAAAAATTATGCAAACTCAGCAAAAAAATAAAAAATATATATATATACGGTATATATATGATTATTAGGTTTCTCTGGCCATTAGCATTGAATAACTAATTCATGGGCTAATCCATATGGTAATATAGGATGGACCATTATTTCCACACTAACATATGTCATCCCTTGGGGTCTGCTCACCAGTGTTCAGTCTGTGATTGTCTACAGGACAATAAAAGTCCATGATATCCAACAGGGAGGATTGACTGAGCAAAATCACAACATCCCCCCTTTTGTACCCAAGGCCTACTACTGCCTGGGGTGTAATGGTGTCTGCTGAATATTTCATTGTGAGTATTTGTTTATATGCACATTGTTGTTTTATGGCATTATTATGTCTTCTATTTGTTGGTTCTATTATTTATTTAGTACCTGCTATTCATACATTGGCAGCATACTCCACAGAGCATTGCATTGGCCATATACAGAATGATTTCTCATTAATTTCTACTCTTATTGTCCAATTAAACGATCACTACACATCTGAGCCCTCCGGAGATGTACTATTTTGCTTCAGTCACAGGGAATTCATTATTCACTTTTCTCTGGGATGAAGTAAAAAGAACTTAATTGGATGAAGATTTTTCATCATGATCGAAGATGATTGTGAATGACGCCAAAATGTTTTTTTTCACCCCCTTGGTGCATTCTTCTGTTATCCCAGTGAGATCTGGTCAGGACATAGTGGGGAGAATTCAATAAAACATTTGCAACACTTTCCTGGTGGTGTGGTCCTTTTAAAATGGCATTAAAATGTTGCAACAGTTTTAGGCTTTGTTTGTGCTTGTAGATGGGGGTGTACCCATGCCAAAAACATGTGGTTGAGTTGAGTTTTGATTCCCCCCCCAACCACTCACCCTTAAGCTTCAAAGGCAGTAAATGAGGGTGTACACACGTCAAAAATGATACTGCTCATTGCACTACCCAACAAGACATTCATCTGAAGAGGGCCACACTGCAACCATGCACAAGGCATGCAGTTGCACTACCCATCAGGACCTATTTATCTGAATGGGACTGCATCGCAGCCACGCACAATGCAAGTTGTAGCACAGTGGTGTGGGTTTTTAGGGGCTAAAACAGGCGGTGAGGAGATTTTTTTTTTTTATTTACCTCATTGGTTACTTCCAATCAGGTCACCAAAGGTGTGAACTCTAAGTCTGTCATCCTCATCCACTGACTTTCTAAAGGTTTGAGCCTTGGGGCTGTCATTGTCATACTTGTTTCATTGCTTATCGAATGACGGGCCTAGAACAAGTATGCCTATGGAAGCCATTCTCAACAAGGGTTCCATGAAAACCTGGAGTTCCTCCAGAAAATTGCTAGGGGTTTCCTGAGCTATGGCTGATTGACCTCCAATCTGATGTTGGCTCCATAGTTCGGGTCTCACCCCTGGTTCACATCTGTGCGGGTGGTGCCGCTGTGGATCCGCACGAAAATCCGTGCAACCGCACCACCCGCAGAGACAAATGCGGACCCGTGGGCTGGTGCCATTAATTCTAATGGCACGCCACCCGCACTGGAAAACGCAACCGTACTGGGAACCGCGGTTCCCGTGCGGGCTGCGTTTTCCATAGTAGTGCAGGGACTTCTTCCCTGCGTGTCATGGGCACAGGAGTCCATTCAAATGAATGGACTCTCTTGGCCATGCAAAACGTGGCCCGCACGGCCGCATAGATGTGAACCTAGGGCAGTGTTTCTCAACTCCAGTCCTCATGGACCCCCAACAGGTCATGTTTTCAGGATTTCCATTATTTTGCACAGGTGATTTGATCAGTTTCACTGCCTTAGTAATTACCACAGCTGTTTCATCTGAGGGAAATCCTGAAAACATGACCTGTTGGGGGTCCATGAGGACTGGAGTTGAGAAACACTGACCTAGGGTAACACCACTTGGCATATACAGCAGCATGACACCAATTTTATTTAGCTGTTTGTAAAGCAGGCCATACTTGATACGATTTTTCTTTCCTGCAAGAAAATCACTTGATTCCCACATCAACACAGTCACTGTTGATGTAAAAATCACTCCCGTGGGGCTATTGTGTTCTCCCAGTGGGGGGGAACCGTCCTTGCCGGGAGAACACAGTGATTAATGCTAGCAACTATAATAGCTGCTAGCAATAATCACATAAAAAATCTGATATGCTGGTTGTACCAAAGTTGTACAACAAATGACTTGGGTACAATCAACCTGCCCATAGATGGTTCGAATTCTGTTGAACCTGCTGGGATTCGAACCATCTTTGGTCAGCTTTTGGGTGGCATTGACTGCAACTGTAATGAACTAATTTTAGAAGTAAATCCCAGTGATCTAACATTTTTTACAAGGGTTCCTCTGGGGTAAAAAAGGTGAGAAAGGCAGGCCTATGGTAAAGTTGGGACTCACAATGTGCATATTTGGTGGAGGTCACCTACAACATCATTGGGAATGACAACGTCTTTATTTTTGCCCTTACAAGTTCCCATTAACATATCATCTTGATTTTAAAGACTTTGGTAGCTCCTTTTGAATTACATGCAGAAGTTGACCAGTATACAGATGGTGACCTGGTTTGAACCTAAGACCCTCAGTTCAGCAGGCCAGAATGTCATCCACTTTAGCCACCATGATTCTATTCATTTATTTTACAAGTCAATCAAATCTATAGAAACTGGTTTCGGGCCAAGGAGGTGTCACTAGGCCTCTGTTCTTTTGGCCCAGCTGACAAAATATCTGCACCCTTTTTGAGCATAGATGTGGAGTATACTTGAAATCATTGTGTGTCTCTCTGGTCCTGTCAATGCACTCCTAGATGTTGAAGGCTTTAGTTTCGGTAATTCGATGATAGGAGGGTGGTTTGGGATGGAATGGCAATGAAAAGAGTTTAACCTTCAACCCAGAGGAGAAATCACCTGCCTAAAGGCAAGCCTGGGACTGAGGAACAATGAGGAGTGTTATTACGGCTGTCTGCAAGGCATGATAAGCATCTTAATCCAGAAATGTGCACTGCTAAAACAACACAGGATCCTTCCTGGTGCAGTTTGTTTGTTCAATGAAGAATATTATAGAGTCTGGGCACTTGTGACTGCCCTCTGCAAAGCTGAACTTGTACTGGTAGAATTATTTATTTGAAATTTTTTTGTTTTACTAACATTCTTTTGATTTTCTAATCGTTAGTGGGGTCAAATCGATGGCCATTTATGACTGCAATGTTGAGAAAATTCAAAGGAGCAGGATGGATTTAAAAAAAAAAACAACAACAACAATATTTTGAAATACATTTGAACGACATTTGTCAAGTCATGGAGTATACTGAGAATTTTTACACTAACGTTCATTTGAAAATCTACTAGTGTATGGCCAGCTTTAGTATAATCAGGACCCTACAACCAAGAAGCCTTTATGCCGGTGGTTCTTGGGCTTCTAGACTGGACTCAATGGACAGGCCTGAAAGGTGTTTCATTACAAAACATATATTTTTCAATGTTCTTTTTAATTTGGTGTATTATTATTATTATTATTATTATTATTATTATTATTATGAGTTTATCATCTTTTATCAGGTAGCAAAATATAGCCTCACACTATGACTTAAGCAGGGGTCTCCAAACTTTCTAAACAAAGGACCAGTTTATTGTGCTTCAGACTTTAGGAGAGCCAGACTGTGGCCATCTGGAGTGGAACATTTCCTGACATCAATGGGAGTAAACATTGCCATTTGGTATTGGGTGGAGGTATAGCGCCCCATCATTGGTATCAGTGGGAGGAGGAACATTGCCCCTTTCTTTGTGTCAGTGGGAGAAATGGTGCCCCATTGTTGGTATCAGTTATAGTGTGTCTTATGAGTGGGAGGAATAGTGCTCCAAGGACCAGATAAGGGAAGCAAAAGGCGACATTCGGCCCCAGGGCCAGGTTACAAAATACTCAGGTAAATGCTCTGTTGCAAGGGCAGAAATGCTAAACACTAAGATAGCCCATACACTAATCTACTAGTGCTGGCAGCAGTGATCAGTGTGTTCTGAGGGCGGGGATGTCTCCCTGCACAGCGGGAGCATTTCATTCAGGTCATTTTTTTATACACAAGCTGGTTGAACCAAAAAAAAAAATGACCCGAATGAACCGCTCCCGCTGTGCTATTGTGTTCTGTTCAGCGGGGAAGAACACATTGATCTGTGCCCTCAGAACACAATGATCTGTGCTGACAGCTATAACCAGTGGCACTGATTGATCAGGAAAAAGTTGATCGACTTCTGTACAACCAAGGTGTCCATATATGGATCGAAATTCAGCCAGTCCCTGCTTAACCGGCCGAATTTTGATCCATGTATCGTCGGCTTAAGCCACTGAGCTGCCCAGATATGTTCTCTGTTATTTGCATTGTGAGTAAAGTTCCCTTTTTTGCCAAAACAAATCCTAAAAAGAACATTGGCATTCAGTGCCATTTACTGACCAGGCCAGTAAAATATCAGACAGATGGTAACCCTAAACGTGAGGCATCTTGCATGGATCCCTTTCACCACATATAAAGCATGTTAGGAAAACACGGGTCCTAATGCTGGAGGGTAAAAGGATCTGGACTGTCCCCAGGGCTTACTAAATGATGACCTCTGTTGTTTTTTTCTGTGTAAAGAAAAGGTAGATTATGCTCCTGGAGAAGATTTTCTTATCTTTGTCAGAAAATGAACCTGATGAGCAGCATGTATTTGTAGTATCCACATGTAGTGGTGCATAACCTGAATTCTGCATAAGCATCTGTGCTCCATAACAGCTGCTTGGAAATCTCACACATCCTTGTGTTAGGGTGGAGAACATGTGGTGTAAGTGGCTTACAAAGACATCATTATAATAATGCTTCCCTGCTTAAATTGACGAGAGTTTCCATGTCAGACATCTACAGAAGAATTCTGTTAAGATGTATGTAGGTGAACTGGAGAGGGCTGCCCCCCCAGCCATGAAAGGTACAACACAGATTTGCTAGTCAGAAAATATGGCCAACCAAAACCTATATGTGTTGTTTGGGTTGGGCAGGTCAAGGTTCAGTTCTTCTAAACCTTTACTTTTGTGAAAGTATGCAAGTATGTCTGTTCCCATCACCCTCACATTGCCTAATCCAGCCTTCCTCAACCCTTTTACCTAAAGTAGTTTTCAGGACTTAGGGAACCATTACTGGACCCCGGTGGGTCAATGGCAAACATGCCGCTCACATTGGCGGTCAGTGGGAAGAAAGTCCTCCTTACAGTGGTGGTCAGAATTCCACCTTTACAGACAGCTGAAAAGATAATTGGCATTATGCTGTTGGTTTAGCCAAGTGGCTTTGGACCTGTTGGTCCTGGAACTATGAAGTCACCATCAAATCAGAGGTCAGCTACCTCTGGAGGAACCCTAAGGTTCCATGGGAACCTGGTTGAGAATGGATGGCCTTATACATTGCCTAATTGACCCTCACATTGCTTAAAGGCTAAAGGTTTTTCCCCTTCATGGATTGTATACATGAAGATAAAAACCTTTAGTGTGCAGTACCCCCCCACCCCCTCCTAATACCCACCTGAGCCCAGTCTCGGTCCACTGACTCAGCTTTCCAGGGTCTCTCCCCCTTTATTGCTTGAGACACAGCAGCAGGAGCCATTGGCTGCCCCTCCTGTTAATTACAGCCTGTGGGGAGGGAGCGGGGGGTGTGGCCATTCCTTCTCTGCTGTGTGTTATGAACACAGAGAGCGGGGCTGGGGGGGCGAGCACATACCAGTTCCCCTATAGCAAGTGGTTTGTTGTGGGGGCTCTGCTCAGGGGGGAGGAGTCAGAAGCACAGACTGGAGACCCTAGAAGTGGAGGATCAGGGCTGCAGTGTGCAAAACAATTGCACAGGGCAGGTAAGTATGACATGCTTGTTATTTTAAAAAATTTTTTAAAAAGCCTTTAGTAGCTCTTTAAGCCGATCATAGATGGAGCGATTTTCTTTCCTGCAACTACGTGCACTGACGGTGTTGATGGCGAGAATCCCTCCCGCAGAGCCATTGTGGTCTCCCAGCTGGGGGAGTGATTACTGCCAGCAGATATTATAGACGCTAGCAATAATTGCATGTAAAATCTGATAGGCTGGTTGTATCCAAGTTGATGATCAATTAATTTGGGTCCTTGCAGCCTGCCCACACATGGGTCGATTCTTGGCCATTCCCTACTGAACTAGCTAAGATTCGAACTGTCTATTGCCGGATTTAGCCTTTCATTCTAGAACTCCATATATTACAATATTTCTACTAAACATTATGTAGCGCCCTCCAGTTTAGCTAGGATTTTTGTCTGTTAGTCAGAGGCTTTCTAGAAGCCTTTAATGAGTCAGCCTGTAAGTCAGGCAGTGAGGTTACCTCAGGTCTATCTGGGAGGTTCTACAGGTCAGATCTTCAGGAGCTCTGGCACTTTTTTGATGAGTGGCGGAGGAGGGGAGGAGGCCTGGATTTGCATGTTTGAGGGAACCTGGCTAATCCCTAGGCAGGAGGCCTAGCATGGTGTCTAGGACAGCCCTTAAATATATGAGAGCCTGCACAGCAGAGGAGTGTGGTGGATGTTAGTGAAAGAAGGTGCTGGTGTGTGGAGCCTGGATGGGGCCTACCTACAGGCTGAAGCTGGAGAGAAGGATCTCCACTGTCACACAGTCTACTGAGAGACAACCTGTCAGCAGGGATGGAACCAGCCCAGCGTAAGGCTTGAAAGCAGCTTCAACCCATTAAGCTGCAGGAACAGGACTGTGTAAGTACTTCTACACCCCCAAAGAGGGGAGAGGGTGGTCAGGTGCAATACCCATCTAGTTCTCCCTGGGACTACTTTATTGTAGATCTCCAGATATCTTGCTCAGGGACACCCTCAGGAAAGCTGGTGCATGAGGAGATTTTCATCTGGGGTTTGACGAGGTTCGCCAAAGGGGACCCACTGCTCCTTAGCTTGCTTGCTAATTTTGGTCCATTTTTGCTGAGAAGTTCATCCTCAAAGTACAGTTCCTTGGGAATCCCATATACCCCTAAACCCCGTCCAAGTTGTTAATCCCTAATAAAAACACCAAAACCAACCAAGCTCAAGGACTTTTTTTATTGACTTTGGATGAGAGTGCTGGAAAATACATGTTACCTGGCTGTGCAGAGCTTAGGGAGAGCCCAAAAACTCAGCGGCCTTTGAGAGGGTAGTGCTGTATTTACATGAAGACGTTTTGCAGTGAATCTTTGCTTCTTTTAGTGAATGAAAGTCATTGCTATGGACAGCTTCAACAGTTCTCCTTACGATTTGCAGCATCGTTTAATTTTACTTATTGTCTATTAAGCCCCACGTGCCTAACATTCCACATTACACATGAATGTGTTCTTGGCTTCACTTACAATAACATGCAGTTAGTCACTTGTTATTACATCGGATTGCACATAATTGACCTTGATTACAAGCACCTGCATGCTTGGTCCTGTCATTGCCAGTGTTATTTGTGTGGTGTGGTGTTCAATATTGTTAGTTCCATGTTCTGTAGGCTGACTATGAAGGGTCTACAGCTGTCCCTTCCATTCGCATCTATTCTATGCCTGGAAGACTGAATTTTCTGCTGAATATATCAGCATATACAGTGGGGATCGAAAGTTTGGGATTGGTCTCCAAAACTATGGTATAGTACCTGAGAATCTCCTGTTTCTGATGTACATTTTACATTGAACGGAAGGAAACAACCCTAAATAAATATTTTTTTATGGCTTGAAAATTCATAAAACACTTCAACATCCATATACAGTGGGGATCGAAAGTTTGGGCACCCCAGCAAAAAATTTGTATTAATGTGCATAAAGAAGCCAAGGAAAGATGGAAAAATCTCCAAAAGGCATCAAATTACAGATTAGACATGCTTATAATATGTCAACAAAAGTTAGATTTTATTTCCATCATTTACACTTTCAAAATAACAGAAAACAAAAAAATGGCGTCTGCAAAAGTTTGGGCACCCTGCAGAATTTATAGCATGCACTGCCCTCTTTGCAAAGCTGAGACCTGCCAGTGTCATGGATTGTTCTCAATCATCGTCTGGGAAGACCAGGTTATTTCAGTCTCAAAGGTTTTAAATGCCCAGACTCATCTGACCTTGCCCCAACAATCAGCACCATGGGTTCTTCTAAGCAGTTGTCTAGAAAACTAAAAATAGTTGACTCTCACAAAACTGGAGAAGGCTATAAGAAGATAGCAAAGCGTTTTCAGATGTCAATATCCTCTGTTCGGAATGTAATTAAGAAATGGCAGTCATCAGGAACAGTGGAAGTTAAAGCAAGATCTGGAAGACCAAGAAAAATATCAGATAGAACAGCTCGCAGGATTGTGAGAAAAACAATTCAAAACCCACGTTTGACTGCACGATCCCTCCAGAAAGATCTGGCAGACACTGGAGTTGTGGTACACTATTCCACTATAAAGAGATACTTGTACAAATGTGGT